TGGTATCAAAGGTATTGCTTGACTTTTCTTGATCACTAGAAGTCAAGTTTTTGAGTGAAGAGGTTTGTAAACAATAGGAAAAGGGTAAAAGTAACTCTTGAAGTTATACTTCAAATTGTTTTAAAGAAAGTATTAAGATTTTATTAGTAAGGAAGTATAAAAACTTCTTGCGAACATCTTTTTTGTGTGTGGTCAGAGGATCAGTAGAAAAAATTTTATTGATTACAATTATATATTTTAATGTTATAATTAATAATAAGAAAATAAGTTTCTTAAATAATAAAAATTTTTTTTTATTTTAATTAAGCAAACTTTTTTATAATATAATATTGATATTAATAATATAATAAGTAAATTTATATATTAATAAAAAGTCAAGTTCCTTAAATATTCTTTTTGAAGTTTTTTTATTTAAAAATAATTAAATTTTTCAAATAGTTCAAAATTAAAAAATATTTTAATTAGATAAAGTTCTTTTTGAAAAAACTTATTTGTTTAGGACTAGTGAATTTATAGCATAGTAACTATACTTTTAAGTATTAACCATGATATATTAATTATTAATTCAATTTCACTTTAAAACAATACTCACAATTTATATTATATTATATAAGATTGTATTTTTATTAAGTCATATATATACTTTGTATATAATCAATATTAAATATTATATTATCTAACTATAATTTAATAAATTAGATTAAATAATCTTAGTTAATTTTTATATTAAGAAATTTAATATTTTACTAATTAAATATATAAAATTATTAAAAAAATTATAAAATACTTTGATTGACTCAAGTTTTTATTAAAAATATAATAAAATTTACTTCTTTTTAAAAATATCTTCATAAAAGACTGAAAATTTTAAATTATTTAATCAATAGAAAATATAAATTGAATATATTTAAAAGATCTTTATAATTATTAACTAACAAGGCTATCAAAAAAAAATAAATTTACCCTCAATTGGGAATTATCTAAATAAATTAGGATAAAAATTATAGGGATGGACTGAAACTTTAGATGAATACAAGAAATTAATATGGTTTTATTAATTTATCAACAATAATTAAAGAAAACATTTATAGATTATATTTGAAGAGTGATTAAAAATAATATAAGGAAAAATAAAATTCAATTATAAGATATACTATTGAATCATTAGAATAACTATGGAATTTATAAAAGTTGATAAATAATTACTTTTTGAGAATCAAATACAATAAAATATATTATAAAATATAAACCATTATAAATATATAATATGATTAGATCAACTAATTAAAAAACAGATCTCAAGATTTTTGATTAAATAAAAGTTTTATAATAGATCTTTGGAATATTGTAATACTTGGACATAGCAAAATTATTGACAAAAATAATACTACTATGGTAAAATTGATATATTAATATTGTATAAGATAGTATAGATAAAGATTAAGAGAATTGCTCATATAATCAAAATATATTAATCTTAATAAGCAATAAAGTATACAGTATGTCCTATCTGTTGAACTTAAAAAAAAAAGTTTTTTATTTAAATAAAAATTTTTTAAAAGATCTTAACTTGTTTTTTTTTTTCAATATATTAATTCAATAATTTATTATTTTTTGAAATAATAAGCTGTTGATAATAATTTAATAAATAGAAGTCTTGTATAAATCTATTAAAGAAGTATATATTGTTTCTTAAATTTGACTTAGAGTATCTAATTAAGATTTTGTTTTGTTTAATTTGAATTGGTTTAATAGGCTTCTTATATTTTTAAATAGTATAGTCCTTTAACTAATAATATATAGAAATAAGTTGATTGTTATATAAATAGCCCATATATTATTGTAAATGTTTATTTGATATCTCAATAAATACATGCCATGATGATATAATTGTGAGTTAAAAAAAAATAATAAAATAAAGACTATTTTAAGTATATTTAAATTTATTCTTTTGAATAAATAGTTTTCCAGTTTTGAATGTTCCATACTGTTGACTGCGGATTAAATAAAAAATAAAAATAAAATCAATTTAAATTTATTAAACAAATCAGATAGTATAATATAAGAAAAAAGAAGTATTAAAAATTTATGCTGTATTTGAATATACTCAAACGTTCAATCAGACCCCTTCAGGACTGATGTCTATTCCTCCGGTCTCAAACATATTGCATGGGAAAACTTCTTTAATTGTACATTCGACACCCGCGATTTTTAAAGTATACACACGCCACCACATTTGCGTGTCACGTCCTACTCGTAATAATTGAAATGATGGTACCCTATCGAAGTAACTGTGAAGTTTCAAAATATTTAATAACTTGCTATTTAATTATATTTACAAAAAAAAAGTTATTTGCTTTATATATAGACTCTCACCTGAACAATTGACCAAGGCCAACACCTTCATTTTCAATTAAATCTACAACTTTCTTGTCGCGAACAATAACATCACTAAAAGCATTACACAAAGTTTTATTTTCACATACAAGTTTAACTTCTCGATCATATCTTCGTAGAACTGGATCATTATCATCACAATTATTGTCAATGATTTCATAATTATCAAACGATTTTAATACTGGATTCGTATTGTCAATAGGAATATTTTTAACAACGTGTATTTTTACAGGTTTATTGAACCAAGCACTAAAAAGGATTTAAAGAAGATTCATTTAACTCGACATTCTAAACATTAAACTTGGCAAATTCAAATTTGTTACCTCAAAATTCTTTGCAAGTTCCCATTTGCCGTCAAACAAATCCTTTCTAATCCTGAAAATTCATCCGGTAATATTAAACTTGTTTCTCTTGATGATATTTTATCGATAAAATTATTCGATATGGGATTTGGCGAGCTACCATTACTTGTCTTATCATCGGAATGGGAAGCACAGTTATTAAACATCCTTATATAATAACCAAAATATAAATATAATGGTGAATGTTATCAACGAATTAGATGAATAACTCATTATATATAAATATTTTATGGCCCTTATTCAACCTATTTTGGTTTAGGTTATCAAGATTTAATCTTTATTTCTTGTGTTGCATCTAATATGCTGTTTTTTGTAAATAAAATAATGTATGAATTTATTTGTTTTCACTCGTGTTGCGTTCGAAGGCCCCAACAATTTTAATTTATTTATTTTTTTATAGTGAACATGCATATATACAATTATGCGATGCCTCTAAGACTACTAATAATTTATTGATATACTGTATATATCAATGCCTATATATATATCATTATACACAGATTAATACTGTCTCTATTACCTATTATCTAGAAATGCATCCTTTTAAACTCCTAGAAGAAAAGAAACTTCTTTATTATTATAAAATCAATTTTTTTTAAAAAAATATAATTTATAAAAGCTTGGATTTACTAATTAGATTTTATTATAAATTAAATTTAATTATTTTTAAATTTATAATTATATATTTAAATTATATATTCATCTTTTTTAAAAAACAATTCTTATCTGTTGATCCTCTAACCATATACAAAAAAAATATTTGCAAAAAAGTTTTTTGTATTTCTTGCTAATAAAGTCTTAATACTTTTTTTAAATCAATTTGAAATTTATCTTCAAAGTTACTTTTATCTTTCTTTTTTTAATTATATTCTGCTTTAAACAAAAACTTGATTTCTTATGATCAAAAAAGTCAAGTAGGGATCGCAATTTTTATCCGAATCTGAATGATCTGCAGATTTGATCTAATTGGATCAGATTAGATTTTAAATTTTTTGATCCATTTGTATACGAATTGGATACAGATTTCAAGTTTTAAAACCTAATCAGGTCAAATAAAAATCAATAGTTTAAATGTAACTATTTAAGATAATTAAAAAAAAACCTCCTGGTTTTTTTTATATTTCTTTAACACCTTTACATGTTTTTTTAAAATTTTGTGATATTTTTTACAATATTTTTTTCCTTGCAATATTACTGGTATTATTTATATTAAAATAAAATAGAATACGATAGTTCTTTCAACAATTCCAATAAAATAAATGAAAGTTTCAATTTAGATAGCTATTAATTGAGTAATACTAGTAATGTTGCTACAAATAGTTTTTTGGAGATATCATCGAGTAATAAAATAAATTATAGAAGTAAAGTATGGAACCATTTTACAAAGGATTCCAATTTCAATGAAAGTAAAAAAGTTTTCTGCAATTATTGCAGCACCAAATATACCTGTAATGGAGGCAGCACCTCTAATATTTTCAAACACTTAAAAAAAAAACCATCCAATAAAAATAAATCCAACTTCTGATAAACCTTTAATCAAAAAAATTTTTAATACTACAGTGGCCAATATAAATATATTTATTAAATTTAAAACTATACTAAATTTATTTTTTATATAGTGGATACATAAACTTGAAAAAATAAAACAAAATCTCATCCAATGGATTGTTATAAACCAGTATCCTTTTATGATCATAGAGGAGCCAACATTCCGTACATTTATCCAATCAATTTCACAAAAAATTAAAATACTAGCTGTTGTAACTGTTAAAACATATATAATGGATTTGTATTTGGTTGATCAAGAAAAATTAAAAAAATTTTGCAAGAAGTGAAGAGTCATATTTTATTCGCTCTCGATATTTGAACATCAACTTCGATAAAGGCATTTCTAGCAATAACTGCATATTTTATCAGCAGTAATTGGAAAATACATAATATAACATTAGATTTTATACAAATCTAGGACATACATACAAATGAAAATATCAAAGAAAGTTTTTACATTATGCTTAGAAAAATATATGATACAAAAGAAAGTAAATTTATTTTACATTAATATATTATTTTTTTTTTTTTTTACCCTCTGTCAGGTTAATTATGTGTGCTTTATTAAACATTAGTATACTGTACATATAAAATGAATCGCTAAAGTTAAATCTCTAATTAACTTACTTGTCTTGATTATTACCACTCTAAGTACAACTTCGGGAGTGATTTATCACTCCATTAGTAGCTCAGGTGAAAACCCTTCC